CCCTCCCGCTTTAATCTATGTGCAGAATGGCGATGAAAAATATTTATGTGCATTTCAATACGCTGACTTGTGTGTAATTCATCGTACTGCGGATTACAAAATGTCATCTCTTTGTTATAGTGTTAACTTGAATTTTATGATATTTCACCGTTGTCTGAATTTCTTTTACAACTTTTACTTTTTCTATTTGTGCCACCCCGATAGCCTTCCCAGTTGTTTTAGATTAATTTGAGCTTAAATTAATTACAAGCAAACGAACATTTACAGAATACTCTGTCTCAATTGCTGTGGGAAACGAGCTTAGGACCCCATGCAAAAGTGCTCCCCGTCTTCAATCACGTGACTTTTTTTCTCACTGATTTTGCCAGGCTGTGTTTTATGTTAAGGTATTTGATGCAACGACATCATGTTCTATTATACACTGTTGCTGGCAAGGTGCTCGACACTGAAGCGTCTCTGCATCGCGGCGTTTTTCGTAGCGAGTTATATTTTGTTTGCCGTTGGTATCGATCGTAGTGACCCGGCTTTTCGGACGTTCATGGCCAATGCAATTCAACAATTCCAGGAACTTGCTTTTTCTACAGGAAGACAACAATTTGCCATTGTTATTATGGCTACTCAATATGAGGTAAATAATTGGAACGTCAATTATCAGCCACAGGATAACAATGGTGATCCTTATATCGAATATGGTCAAACACTTTCGCCTTCAAATGTAAACGACTATGTGAATTTTATTGTGGCAATTCCAGATCATCAAGTACATGCCGAACAGCAAATTTTACCACATTTACAACAACTTCTTCAGCAATTTAGACAAACTCATGATAATCAAGACCCCGCTGCGATGATTCTATACTCTCGTATTTGCCCATGCAGAGACTGTACAGATTATTGTATTCAGCAATTTCATGAGTTGAACCTTCCACCGAGTGTTATCCAAACTGTAGTCTACACAACTGCTGGAAATGTGCTTAATGTCGACACTGACTATTCTTGGACCCAATTCAACGAATATGGAGTTGAATTTTTTCGCTTCAGTCTCTCATCTCATGGTCAATGTGGATTACAACAGACACGCTGGAAACTTGAAGAATCTGAACTGCCTAATACCAGAACCGAATGTCACTCCATTCAAGACTATTTGATGGACGAACTTGGCGATTCCTTAGAAAGCTGTGTAGCAAAACAAAGTGCGTCTGCCACAGCAGATTTCATAAACAGATTGATTTCAGAGTGTTCTTCAGCCTTGGCAACACTTGACACCTGTATCGAGGATGTCGCGAATAGACAACTTAGGTCTGCATGTGGTTCTCTCAAACCAACTGCCATTTCAAAGTCGCTCGGCAAAATTGTAAGAAATGTTATGAACAATGATGTCAGCAATTTAAACCTGCCTTTTGTGGCATACCCACTTGATCCCAACAACCCTACCTATAGCATGGAACCCGTGAAGTTCCCCGATGAATTGACCAGGTACACATCGATCAGATACGACTGTAAAGATAGTAGACTGGAAGGGATGTTATGCACTGTCTGGAAGCAAAGTTATATCTCAGCTGGCAATACCATCTGCAGGGAAGATTCGCCATGCGGTTACCGTGGAGAAACATACAGTTGGTGTTACACTGATTATAAAAATCACTGGGCATATTGTTGCATTGG